ATAAGCAGTGTCCCCAGCTCCCTCTGTTTGTTCATCTGTCAACTGGGGCTAATTCTGCCTTCCTGGAGAGTAGAATGTTCCATAGGACAGAGTCCTTGGCACACAGGCGTGGCTGTGGATGGCAGCCGGCCGCACCGTTCACAGTATTTTCTGGCTTTTCTGCGTACAGAAGTCTTTGACCCCGAGAAGGAGAGGGAGGCCGGCATCTCCAAATCGAACAAAAGGTCCTTGCGATCCAGGCAGCACTAGCCGGCCACCCGCTTCAGGGTAGAACCGGCACGCCCCGTTGGGAAGAGAGGCGTCAGTTTCGTGTTTCACGTGAATCACCTCCTTTATCTCTTACGTTCACTTGTTAACAGGTTTGGAATAAACTTACTAAGCAGCCACCTCGGCCTCGTCTGTGGTCGGGTGCCCCCCTTTCCTGGAGCTCACTGAGAGTCGGGAGCCCCCTCGGATTGGGCTCCGGAGTGAGGCTGGCAGAGCTCCTCCCGCTCGGCACCGTCCGAGGCCACTTACTTAGGGCGGCTTTGCCTTCGGTCCCCAGCTGTGGTCACCCGTCCCACCCACACTGGCCGGCCCGACTTGGGCTTGTGGGGGCCTTGGCTTTGGCCCCCCGACGCCCCCCGGGCTGCACCCTCCTTGGCCCAAGACGCACCGGCCTGAACAGCGTCGCCCACCGGCTCCAGGCTTCTCCCGCGGAGTCACTTTCCCACCGTGCCAGGCGGCCTTGGCGCACCCCTGCTGACTGCCCTTGCCCGCGGGTCTGGGCCACGCGATAGGGCCCCGTGTACCGTAGCCCCTCTCCCCTCCTGCTTTCCAGGGCACGGCATTTCTTTCTGTCCCTGAACGAACCATCGTGTTCCTCACCGCCAGGCCTCTGCACACACGTCTCCCCCGCCTGCCTGCCCTCCCCTCGTGTGTCCCGCCCTTGCGGACAGCACCTGTCCACCCTTTAGATCTTGGTTAGGCTGTCACCACCTCCACTCCAGTCCCCCACCTCCCCGCGTGTGTGTGACCATCACACTTGCCGCACTATTTTGACTCCCTGTCTCGCCTCCCTTCCGCCCCAGAATCAATCAGGACCCCTTCAGTCATGACAGCAAACCCAACTCAGAGTGGCTTAAACAAGGAAGGACTTGGCCAGAGGGGGTCCTAAAGGAGAGGCTTGACTTAGTGGTTCCAGTGATGTCACCAAGCATCCGTTTTTCTCTCTCTGCCCTGTTATCATGAGTGTTGGCCTCACGCTGGCGCCTAAAACACAGTCTTCCAGCAAATCCAGCCTCTTTCTTCAGGGTAGCAAAATGGCTGCCATACTTGCAGGCCTCGCTCACCCAGGCCCCGCCGTCAGGAGAAAGAGGGTGGGTCTCATTTAGTGGCTCCCCCATCCCAGCAAACATCCAATCTGGATACCTGTGGGGGAGGGTGGGATAGTCCAATGGGCACTCTCGGCCTGGGCCACCTCTGAGCCGTGAGTAGGGCAGCCCCTCCCGAGCCACGTGGCTGAGTGAGGAGGAGGTTCTCTAAGCAAATTGAAGACGCTGTTACCAGGGAGAGAGGGAATGAATGTGGGCGCCCAAAGGGCGGGGTGTCCTCCACCTGTGCAGCAAGGACCCTCTGCCCGATTCACCTGCATCAACCGGCTGTGGGGCAGGACCCAGGTCCAGCCTGGGCCCTGAGGCCCACCCCCAGGCAGCGAGAGGCGTTCAGCTGTGAGCCGGCCCAGCCCCTGGCCCAGCCTTCTGAAGGCAAATACAAGCCTTGGTGAAGCCCTGCGGGAGCCCCGACTGGCGGCGGCGGGTGGATGGGTGCAGCTGTGTGCCAGGCACGCCACTGAAACCAGCCCCAGCCAGCTTACCCAGAAAAGGGGTTTCTTGGGAGGGTCTAAGGAAGCTTGCTGACAGCAAGGCAGGAGAACTGGTCTAGAAAACATGGACCCTGGGCTCGGGGATTCCGGCGGAGAAGACCCACTCCCCGGTCACGGTGGGGACTGCCACCACTGCACAGCAGCTCCAGCTGTTCTGTTCGTCCTCCCAATGCGCCCTCAAGATGCAGGTGCAGGAAGGGCTCCGGGTTGACGCACCCTCCAAGGCTGCATTCCTGGGAGGAAGGGGATCCTCCACAATGCTGTTCCGGACAAGGGGGAACGGAGGCCAGGGGCCAAAAGCAGAGCAGCACACCGTGGCCCTCCTGCCTGTCCGGGCGGGTGGCTGGGCGGTCAAGGCCAGGCAGGGTCACACCACGCAGGTGTCAAGGAAGCTCTGAGCACCTGCTGCTGGGACACTGCCCTCCTGCTGCCAGTCTCCCCTGTGGTGACGCCAGCATGAACTTCCTGAGGACCCCTTGGCACGGCCCAAAGCCCTAACCCCAAGTTCCAGAGTGCTTGACTGGCACTCAAGGCCTTTGTGATCCGGCCCTGCCCGCCCCCGGGCACAGCCTGTCTCCCACCGCTCTGCCCTCCCACTGGTGCCCCAAGCATGTCACTCCAGGAATTACTGGACCGGGGACACTGACCGCTTTTCCAGCCTCCAGTCTCCCCCTTTGGGCTCTTCTCACACGGCAGCGTGATCAGCCCTCGTCTCTCCTTGCTTAGCACCTTCATTCCTCTCCCCGCTGGCACAGTCCAGGCCCTGCCCTCCCCATTCCCCCAGCGCCCTCTGCTCGTGCTGCACCAGCCCCTTCCTTTCTCCCAAGGCAAGGCTTTCCTGCCTCGGGGCTGCTGCACCTGCTGCTGGGAGCACCTTCCTCAAGTCTCAGTGTCAGTTCTGGATTCCAGGTCCTTCAGGCTTCTACTCAGACATCAGCTATGAAAGTCATGTCCCCGACCCCTCCCTTGTTGCCACATTCCACCGTCACCCTGTTCTCTTGCCTTCACGGCACTTATCACTACCCGCACTACTTATTTTATTGTCCGTCTCCAGACCCCCCCAAAAGCATGAAACACAAGGAGGACAGGGCCCCCATCCTGCTCGATGCCGCGCCCTGCCTGGCACAGGACTCCAGTGTTGAGGAGGCCTCTCTGCAGCTCCGGTGGGTGGGTGCCTGTGCCTCCCCCTTGGCCCTGCGAGCAGCTGGTTGGCACCTTTCTTCTAAGCCGCCTTCAGTCCACACCCCTCAGAGTTGAAGCCAGCCCTCCAGCCGCGATACTAGCAACACGGGAGCCTTGCCCGGAGAGCAGATGAAGATTTCATCTTCCCATCTGACAAGGGACACTTGCTCGAGGTGGCCAGGCCTCAGTATGTTTTAATGAACGCTTCGTCTAGTCCCTAACTTCAGAACCACAACATTATAGGTGAACCGCTTTTCGCCAGGAGTGGGACCTGCCAGCTGGGATGGATGGGGTCCTAAAGGCTGGGCCACCACGGGAGCTGGAGCCGGGGAAGGAGTGGGGGTTATGCAGGCCGCCCTGGAATTACGGCTCGCTTGCAGCCCATCTCCTCACTGGTGGCGAGCCTGTGGGCATGGTGGCTTCCCTATTTTATGCCTGCCTGCCTTCAGTGGCGTTGATATTTGCTATAAATTCTTCATATGAAAAATGAGGTAAATAACTATCAATAATGCTGGGTAGGGGAATAAACGACCTCACAAGCAACTGCTCACAGAGCCCTCGATTCCTTTCTAAACAGCTCTCGTATTCGCCCGGGCTCACCCATGGCGTCAGACCCACGGCCTCCCTGCAGCTTTGCCCATCAGCCCCTCCTCTTCCCTGCCGAGAATCAAACGTATGTTTTGATGATCTCTCTGCTCAAAACGCTGAAGCCCCAAGACCTACATGATAAGGTTCAGATTCCTTGGCCTGGTTACAGAGGACATTAGTAGCTAGTTTCAGCTGCCCATCAATGCTTCCCACCCACCTTCTCACAGTAACTCAGGGGGGGCCTGTGAGCCAGGCCCCGCCAATCAGAGCAGCCACTCCCTGCCCCACGGCATTGCCCCAGAATGGGCGAAGGTCCCAGGCCCAGTGGTCAGAACCTTCCCTGAGGTTTCTGAGCTGTGGGTAGAGGTGCTGGGATCTGGAGTTGACCTGCTGGGGCCATCTTCTCCCCCCGGGGAGAAGCCTACCTACAAGAGGGAAGAGACTGAAGCCAAGGTCAGACCAGCAGACTTGAGGTGGCCATGGGGGGAGACAGGCCTGGTGGGTAGAGGCATGGCCCTGGGCCGCCTCCACAGCTGTTTCTGCAGGTCTGTGACACCCCTGTCCCCAGCATCCTTACGTGGTCAAAATTCAAACAGAACCACCCATATTTTATACAAACAAAACAAACGTGTTTATGGAAAGTCTGAAGCCTGGGCCTCTCTCCTGGCCTAAAACCCTCTTTCAGAGAGGAGTGGCCCTGGGCAACAGAGGCAGCAAGGGGCAGGAGGGCCGCCAGGTGGTTCCTGGCTGCTGGGAGCGCGTGGAGTGGGAAATTTGCCAAGCTAGCAGGGCTGTGTGCTTCCCTGAAGGCAGGTTACACTTCAGTAACCAAGACAGAAACTGCCCCAGGCTCCCCACTGCCCAGCAGAGGCCTGAGCTGAGCACCCCCGTGACCAGGCCATGGCCACCCCGCTCCAGAGCCTGCGGGCCATGGCTGTCCTGACAGGCCAGTATTTACAACAGTAATAATCATGAAGGCTGGTAACAGCGGCTGAGGTCTGTAGCGCAGCTCTGCCCACACCACGTCCCCAGAGCCCTCTGTGGTGAGGACTAGCGCCGCCCTATTCCCCAGATGGAGACACACAGAGTGGAGTTCCTTGCCCCACATCACGCAGCGGTTAAGCGACAGGGCCAGGCTTGAATCCAGGCAGCCAACCATAGAGCCCCGGAGCTTCTGTGCGGGCTGTGGGCCGGGAATGTCCCTCCGGGGTCCCCCCCGCCTGCCTCTGCTGCCCACACTGGCCTGGGTACCCCTCGCCCTGCGTGTGCCAAGGCGAGGGAGTCCTCGGGCGCAGGCCGGGCCGGGCACAGGGCGGAGGATGTGTGACCGCGAGCGCGTCTGCTCGCCGGGCACCGTCCTCTCGGGCTACGACCACCAGAAGCTGACCGAGAAGCTCAAGTCCAGAGCCCGCACGTAATGCCAGCACTTCACCGGGATGAAGAGGATCTCTCCCGGAGACAGGATGCAGGACAGGGACGGGGCCTCGGCAAACCTGGGGAACTTCTCCACGTCGGGGTTCTCCACATCAACCTGAGGAAGGCGATGGAAGTCACTGGGCTGCTCTCAGAGACGGGGTGTGGAGGAGGGGAAACGGCGGGTCCCCCCGGGTCCCCCCGGCCCACCTGGCTCGTGTTGCGAAGAAGGTGCGTGTCATGAGGATACAGGGCCTCTGACTCCTGTGGGGAGTACAGCCGGATGTATTTCCTGCCCATCACCTGCAAGGAAGAGAGCCGCCCTCCTCAGCAGGTGCCCGGCTGCCCCAGCTGCCCCGCGCCCAGCACACATGTCAGGTTAGGAGTCACTGCCTTCGCTACTGTTGCTAACAGGCACTCGACTGTGGCACCGCTGTTTCGGTGCTGTATGTGTATTAACTCTGAGCCTCAGCACAACCCCCCGAGGTGGTTTATCCTTTCCCCCCCATTTTACAGGGGACGATATGGAGGCACAGAGAGGTTAAGTGAATGGCCACGTTCGCAAGGCTGAGAGGCGGTCTGGTTTCCGGCCCCTCTGCTGCCTCTGGGGACTGGTCCCCGGGCTGGAAGAACACTCTCACTTGTCAAACCTCTCTGCCTGCGACGGAAGGTGGTTTTATAACAGGTACCCCTCCCCTTGCAACACACACGCATGCACGTGCACGCGCTGCTCTGTCTGGGTCTCCATAAAACCACCCACTGGCTGAGCAGCTTCCCCGTATTTGGAGGGTTCTGGCAGGAGATGCTGGCCTTGTTCTGATGGACGGTAGGGGAGAGGCAGCCGTCGGGGCACTTGCTCCGTCCGGAGATGGCGCCCGGCCCCGCTCTGCCCTCAGGAGGCGTCTGGGAACCCAGACGATGCAGGAGCCATGTCTGGAAGCCGCCCCGACCAGGCAGAGGGCCCCCCCCACCGAGGCCTGGTACCTTTCTTTCTCTGTTTTCACTTCTGTCCACGTCCCTGTCAGTGGTTTATCTCTTTAGTGTTTACATGTGGACAGTGTGGCCAGGCCGCATGTGGCTGGGCCAGGAGGAGGGAGAAGGCTGATGTTCTGAGCAGCTCCAACCTGGACTAGGAAGTTCTGCTGGGGATCCTGGTGAAGCGGGGAGACGGTGCCTCGGGGACCGAACCAGGCGTTGATGGTGATCTCCTCTTCCTCCCCGGCGCCCAGGCAGCAGTAATCGGGGATGCTGATGTCCTGCTTCAGCTCTGGGATCTGTAGGGTCAGAGCAGACGTGGAGGGTTAAGACCAGGCCTGTGGGACACAGCAGCCTAGAAGTCCACTGACTCTCCCGGAAGGCGGATACACACTGTCTTCTTGTGTAATAATATGACTGTAGCCACATTTTACTGTATAGGAGTTTAAAAATCAATTTAAAAAAGTAAATACATAATTGCTATGGAAGGGTTCTAATTTTATTTTCAGATTTCTTTCCATGTCATATGCATTTTAACTTTGTTTCCTTTTCTTAAAAACCTGATACCACTGCTTTGTACCTAAAAATAGACCAGCTTGCAATTTTCTAATTTTAGAACATCAAATTAAAGAAAAACAGGGCTTCCCTGGTGGCGCAGTGGTTGAGAGTCCGCCTGCCGATGCAGGGGAAACGGGTTCGTGCCCCCGTCCGGGAAGACCCCACGTGCCGCGGAGCGGCTGGGCCCACGGGCCATGGCCGCTGAGCCTGCGCGTCCGGAGCCTGTGCTCCGCAACGGGAGAGGCCACAACAGTGAGAGGCCCGCGTACCGCGGAAAAAAAAAGAAAATGGGACTGAGCAGTTAATGAAATCTCTGGAAGGGAAGATTTTCCAAAATTTCCTAATGGTAAAGCAATCACAATTGGTACGTTTAAGAGAAGTTACTTAATACAAAGATGGGGAGTAAAATGGGAAACATTTGAACTGTGGTAAAGGAAGGTTAATGTAGAGAGTGCATACAAAATAATAAGGAAAAATAATAAGGATCCCAATACGTAAGGTATACAAATAAGAAAAGGACAAAAACCAGATCATACATAAAGATGAATTAGATATAAAGAAGGGTTTCAGTCTCATTAGCAATAAACATTGTCATCATTTCCCACTGATCAAATTAGCAGAAGTTGAAAAAGTGGTAACACACAGTGATGGTGAGGATGTGGTAAAGGGGGCACCCTCATGCCAGGCTGCTGGTGGCATCAAGCAATGTGGTCAGGACTTCCCTGGTGGCACAGTGGTTAAGAATCTGCCTGCCAATGCAGGGGACACGGGTTCGAGCCCTGGTCCAGGAAGGCCTCACATGCCGCAGAGCAAATAAGCCTGTGCGCCACAACTACTAAGCCTGCGCTCTAGAGCCCGCGAGCCACAACCACTGAAGCCCACGTGCCTAGAGCCCGTGCTCTGCCACAAGAGAAGCCACTGCAGTGAGAAGCCCGTGCACCACAGCAAAGAGTAGCCCCCGCTTGCCGCAACTAGAGAAAGCCCACGGGCAGCAACGAAGACTCAATGCAGCCAAAAACAAACAAACAAACAAACATAAAAAGTGGGTTAAAAAAAAAAAAGCGACGTGGTCAAGCGCGGAAGTCTTAAAACCATTCATGGACTTTGACCCAGTTGGAAGTGAGCTTGTGCTGCTCCTTTGCGTGGTGGCATCAGGGGCCTCCGGGAGGCTGTGAAGTTAGGGCTCCCAGGGAAGCTGCTCCAGGACAGGGAGCTAAGCTGACCTGTGGCTTCCAGGGGCCCTGGGAGGCCGAGCCCCACTATGACTGAGACCAGGGGATAGGACAGGCCGGTCTCTTGAGATCACGTGGTAGGGGCCTGGTCAATTTGAATCCCCCTTTTCTTCACCTAGCAAGAGAGGCCAGGACTCGGGACCCATGCGTCCTCACATGGGGAAGCCTGGGCAAGAGGACACAGCCCGCGTGGCCCCATCACCTCCTGCCCCCCCGTAACTGGACCTGCACCTCCCGAAGGCTGGCACATCCCCAACTGGGGCCCCCGGTCAGGACAGGGACCACAGCTTCCCACTGGCTGTGGTCCTGACCCCGAATGACCCAGGTCTTCCCTGTTCAGGGCACACACCCAGCCCCTGACCTCGCCTCCCGCCCAGCACTGCCCGCTCTGGGCAGCTGTGGCGTAAGGTCTGGCCAAGACCACATCTGCCGAGTCCCCCCGGATGCCTCAGCTCCATCTAACGAGTGGTTCGGGTCCCAAACCTAGGAGTCTCCCTGGGCTGCTCCCTTTCCCTCGATCTCTGCACGCCCACCACGCCAGGTGCCGGCAGCTCACACATGTCCTAACCCCGTCTCTCCACGCACGGCGTCAGCTCTCCCTAGACTGCTGCAGCAGCCTTCTAGTGGTCTCCCTGCTCCCACACTTGTCACTTCAACTCCTCCCCAGGCAGTGCCACAGCCGTCCTGGAAATACTTCCCTTCACATTAAGAAAACCATCTTTCTTCCAGCCCTGATCTCCCTCTCAGGCCCCATCTGCCACTTCCCTCCCCTTCATGTGCTCGGCTCCGGCCACGCTGAACTCTCCTGCCCCTTGAAGGTGAAAGTTCACACCTGCTGCTCTCCCAGCTGGCATGGCGCTTGTCATGTCCTTTTTGACACGAGAAGAAAATAAAATGGCAAGTTGATGACAGGGCTAAAATACCCACAATGCTTACGGTTGACAACTAGCTTGCATCCAGAACATATATAAAGGATTCCTAAAATTCAAAATAAGAAGACCAACAACCCAATAAAAAAAAAAAATGAGCAAAATTTTTGCCATGTGGCTGGGTACCTACTGCTCATCTTTTGGGCTGTTGCTCAGACATTACCTCCCCAAGACCCCTTCCCTGACCATCAGATGGAAAGAACCCTTGCCCTGCCCAGCCTCCTTTGTAGGGTACATTTTTCCTTTCCTTCAAGGAGCTCATTACCATCAGATACGTGTGTTTTTCAGGTCTACGGGGCAGGAGAGCGACTGTCTCCTTTGTCCCTGCGTCCCCAGGGCAGGGTTCAGCGCCGGTGCACAGGGGCCTACAAAGCAGCTGTCTCCCGCCCGCCACCAGGGTCACAGCCCCGGCCACCCCCGAAGTACAGAGCGAAGAGGAGAGCGGGGGATGAGGCAAGGGGTGGACGGAAAGCCCAGCTGTCCGGTCATTCCCCAGGGTGAGCCCTCCTCTGAGCGTTTCGGCATCCTAACTGGACGGCTTTGAAAGCGCAGGATGCGATCTGATTCACGCCACACTTCACTTTGTTCTGCTTTGTTTGCATTTGAAAACAAAGTCTCTGCTCTTCTCGTTATGAGGACTATACATACTCATTATAGATGCTTTGGAAACCGCAGAAAAGAGAGGGAGGGACCCCCTCGCCCTCTCGCCCCCTGCAGACAATCCCTGTTCACCTTCTGCGGCCTTTCTTCCTGTCCTTTGCCAACTCAGCTACGGCCATCCTGCACATCACTGCACAGCCCCATTTTCTCACTCCCCACAAGCCAGACGGTCCCGGTTCCTGCCACCGCTTCCCCACCTCTGCATTTGGCGGCTAAGGGCCCCACCTGACGCAGGTCTGGGTGACGGGTGATGCTGGTGCCACTGATCTGGGGGTGGCCCAGGATGGACCCTGCACCTCTAAAAGCCAGGATGCTGGCGCTGTCTGGACGGTCTCGGGAGGATGTGTGACGGAGGCGGAGCTTGCGCAGCCTGCCACCATCCCTCTTTGGCCCCTGGGCGCTCTCCTTGCATCCCCTGGCACCCCTGTTGGATTCTCCTAGGAATACCACCTCGGAGTGGGAACCCTCCGGCTCACAAGCATCCCAGGGCTCCTCGCTGTCTTGGCCTGGCCTTCAAGGCCCTCCCAGCTTGGCCCCAGCCTCCCTCTTTGGCTTCCCGCTCTGCTTTTCTGACCAAACCCTCTCACGCTGGTGGACGCGCCCAGCACGTGGGGTTTGTTCTGCCCTCCGACCCTGGCTCATGAGGCGCCTCTCCCTGGGACTGGCCTCGGCCTCGAGCCCTGCTCCTCCCCTCAGCTCCAGCCCACGGCCCCCTCCTCTCTCAGTCTCCACCAGTTCGTCCTGGGGGTCCTCCAGCCAGCCATTCAGGGTACCCAGAGGAGGGGAACCCAGGCCCTGCCACAGTGCACAGGCCCAGGTGCGGGGAGCCTGCCTCGTAAGCAGACGACCGAAAGGTGGTCAGGGCGGCTCCAGGCCCTGCCCAGGGAACTCTGTGAGTCCAGGTCAGTGGCCACTCGCTCGTTCTGGGTCAGGTCAGAGCCTGCCACCCTCACCTGGAGGACCTGTTCCTCGGTTCTGACCACACCTGGGCTTTAGACTCCACCCCCTGGGGGCCATCCTAGGGCCTGCTCTGCTACCCTGCTGTCCGCTGGCGAGCAGGGCACGGGTAGCGGCACAGGGGCCTCCCTGCTCACCGCAGGGGGCAGTACCACTGGGGAGCAAACGAGGCTGCGACCCCTTTCCAACCCTCCGGGGCCAGCGCCCAGGAAGGGAGGTGGGAGGAGGTGAGAGGGTGAAGGGTAGAGGGGCTCGGACTTACCTGGTCAAAGAGCTGGTGCTGAGCAAGGTATCCGATGTCCTTCGGCTACTCCATGGGAGAAAGACCAGAGGCGACACAGAAAAGCCCCGTTAGTCGTGGGACACCTCCTCAGAGCTGCCCATGTGGCTGGCTCTCAGCACCCTGCCCTAGGCGTCCCCTGGAGGGCCCTCCTCTCTGGCCTGCTTGGTCCCCTCTCCTCCGACCCGGGGGCAAATGTGATCCCTTGCCAGCCAGCAAGACTGGGCTGATGGGGGGGACTCAGGATCTGGCCCCGCCTCCACCCTGAGTAAGTCACCCCGAGCCCTGGGGCTCAGTTTTCTCACATGAAACGTGAAGGGGCTGTACACACATAAGGATTTTTTTTTAATAAAAATGGAATCATACAATATGTATTACTGTGAAGTCTGCTTTTTTCATTTAATGATATATCATGACTACCTCTTCAGGTCAATACATGCATATGTGACTCATTCTTTTGATGGATGCATGTTTTATAGACAGGACGCATCATCATTCATTCAACCATTCCCCTGCTGGTGGACATTAAGGTGGTTCTGCCGTGGTGTTTCAATAAACAGCCAAATGCTCTGGTCCTGAGGTTTACATGCTTCCAAGAGGAGAACAATGCAGTCAGGGAGTACGTGGATTTTAAATCTCAATAGCTTCTGCCACGCTGTTTTCCCAAACGTTACATCATTTACAATCTCACCAGCAGTTAATGTGAGAGTCCACTTTCCTACAACTGCCTGCACTGGAGATGATCATTTTGTGAAAATTTCTACCAATCAGATGAGTGAAAAGATCAGTGCTTTACAAACTGGGCTCCCCGACGCTCAGGGGTTCTTTGAAGATGCCCGAGGGCCTCTGCAAGGGTCAGATGGGGGCGGGGCAGATGGGATGCTGGGCACCACTGACCCCAACTGCGGCCAGAGTGGCCAATAGGTATCAGGAAGAGGAAGACACCCAGGGCCCTCACTGTTAAGAAATGACAAAATGGTGCAGCTGCTTTGGAAGACAATCTGGCAGTTCCTCAAAAGGTTACACACAAAAGTTACCATCTGACCCAGCAATTCCACTCCTCGTATACACCGAAGAGAAACAGAATCACATGTCCGCACAAAAATGTGCACGTGAATGTTCACAGCAGCATTTTTCATACCAGCCAAAAAGTGGACACAACCCAAATGGCCATCTGCTGAGGAATGGACAAACAAGATGTGGTCTATCCATCAAAGGGATAGTATTCGGCCATACAAAGGCACGGAGGACTGGTATGTGCTACAACAGAGATGAACCCTGAAAACATTATGCTAAATAGAAGAAGCCAGACACAGGTCGTCACATATTATATGATTCCAATTATGTGAAATGTCCAGAATTGGCAAATCCATAGAAACAGAAAGCAGATTCGTGGTTGCCTGGGGATGGGGGGAAGGGGATATGGGAAGTGACTACTAATGAGTACGGGGTTTCTTTGGGGTGATGAGAATGTTCTAGAATTAGATAGTGGTGATGGTTGCACAATCTTGTGAATATACCAAAACCCACTAAACTGTAACCAAAAAAACCCAAACAAACAAAAAAAACCTCCAAAAAACAAAGGGCCTGAAATGGGAACCTTATGTCCCGCCTGCCTTTCTCGTGCTGGCCAGCCTACTAACCACAGGCCCTTAAAGAATGGCTTCTTGACTCCTCCAAAACCTCCCCTGGTGACACATGGAAGTTATTTGCCCAAATGTAACGCGTCCCCTCCCTCCTAAGTATTAGGGGGCAGGAGCCAAACGACACACCTCATTCCTGATGTACTTGCTGATGAACTCATCGACAGTCATGAGCGTCTGGGACCACTCCTCGTCCGTGTACCTGGAACCGACCTCTACTGGGACGGTGCGGCAGCCAGCGATTTCTTGGATGTACTCCAGACTATTCGGAAAACAGGGATTGGCATTGCCATCGTATGCTAACACCCATTGGGTGCCCTGCTAAATGTGCCACACTGGTCTCCTTTCATTGGCACAAACGCTCATGAGGTGGAGGAAGACCCAATTCACTGCTAAGGAGACACAGGTGCAAGAGAGGCGAGGCCACCTGCCCACCTGGCGCTGGGCAGCTTTGCAGATACAACCAATGAATCTGGTTCCTGCTGGGCAGCTCTATCTCCCTGCTTGCCTAGCGCCTTTCAACTTCTCTCTTTGCTCGCCCTGTCACAAGCAGAGAGATCTTCTTTGGGCCAGTGGAGGACAGTGCAGGGTGGTGAGGGGCCTGGGTCCTCAGTTCCGGTGGCTTGGTGCTGAGTCCAGCCCTGACTGTCACCCACCAGGGGACCTGTGGCAAGTCCCTTCACCTCTCTGAGCCCTTGTTCCCCATGCAAACTGTGGGTGATGACAGTGCCCGTCGCACAGGAACCAGGGAGGGGACAATGAGGGAAGACATGGCATGTGCCCGCCTTGTGTGGTCAAGCACACAAGTCTCAGCGGGAACCACTCCCTCCGCAAAACCACTGCCGCAAGACAGGCTGGCTCCATCCACCTGCCTGAGACATGCCTCCTCATTTTAAAATTAGGAACAGCTGTGGCATCATGGCTACTGTCCAGCTGCCTGATCTGACCTCTCCACCATGAATCTGAGGAGGGACTGGAAACAGACATGAGGAGAGAACACAGGAGCCCTTGGAGCCCATGCAGAGGGGGTGGGGCTGTCTTGGGTTCTTTTTCTTTTTTTTTTTTTGGCTGCATTGGGTCTTCATTGTTGCTTGCGGTCTTTCTCTAGTTGCAGACAGCGGGGGCTACTCTTCGTTGCGGTGCACAGGTGTCTCACTGCGGTGGCCTCTCCTGCTGTGGCGCACGGACTCTAGCTGCGTGGGCTCTAGTGGTTGTGGCCCACGGGCCCAGCCGCTCCGCGACATGTGGGATCCTCCCGGACCAGGGATCGAACCCGTGTCCCCTGCATTGGCAGGCAGACTCTTAACCACTGCACCACCTGGGAAGCCCTTGGGTTCTTATTTCTACTCTCAAGGCTCAGGGACCCCTAAGAAACTCCACAGAATTCCTGAGATCCTGCAAAACTGCATAATGGACTTAACATTAGACTTCCACGACGCACTCCCTAAAAACTGCTTAGGGCCGGCAAGCTAGAGAAGCTAAGAGTCTTATAACCTCTGGCATCGCTTCAGAGCACTGTGCCTTTAATGCGTGTTTAACCCCTCGGCCGTCCATCTCACTTCACTGCCAGTGAAGTGTCTGTGGGGCTGTATTCACTTGGGGATGGGAGGAGGAAATTGGGCGTCTCTGGGGATGCTAAATTGGGAAGAGGAACCACACCGCCCTCAGCAGACACCCACCTCCACTTCCTCATGCACGGCCAGTGGTTGGCCACACCTTCCAAGATCACAGGCCTCCCTGGATCCAAAAAATGCTTCCTGAAATACTGGAGGGATGGACAGTGAAGCCGGGGCACGGTTCTTTCTGACGTCATATCTGGAATCGGAACGTGGTCATTCCTTGCTTTCTGTTCAAAATTAAGACAAAACAAGATGGCAACAATTGCAGAAAGGCCAAAATTCGAGGCATTCCACTAGGAATTTGCATCAATGGTAGTAAGACAGCTGAGGTGTCATTAGTAACAATAATAACAGTTAACATTTATTGTCCATTTTACTGCTGCTACTGCGACTACTGACGTTTCACGATACCAAGATGTTTTCTTCTCTACCGGTTCATTTAAAATGTTTAATTATAAAACTTATATATTGCTTTCATAGAGGAAAACTTACTATCCCAAACTCCACCATCTAACATACAAGGATTCTTCTCATTACCGTATGTTCCTTCCCCACTTTGTTCACACATATGCATCTCTGATCCATTCTAAGATTCACGATGAATAAGCAACTCTGCCTCTTCTGTCCAATAATTTCTCTAAAGTAGTTTCCATGCTGCCACTCAGTCCTTGCAATGTCTTGAGTGGCTGCCTCATCATTTACTTAACCATCTCCCAGCTGAGGGACCTGAACAAGTTACTGTCTCTGAGCCCGTTTCCCCACGCGTTAAACCCCACTGGGTGACGAGATCTCACACGTAAAGCACCCAGCACTGCCGCCTGGCACCTGTCGCCTCCCTCTGCTCCCCCTGCTGTACCCCAAGCCCGTTCTCAACACTCATGCAGTGGCGGCAGCGACAGCTAACATTCTTCCCTGCAGGCGATGTGCGAGGCCTTGTATTTGCCTCTTCTTTCCTCACTGTCCCCAAAGTAGACTTTTACTTCCCTGTACTCCCTTGTCAGGCCTTCCCTGACCACCCTGTCTGAAGCAGCCTCCCCACCTTTCTCACCACCTGGGAGAAGACATTCTTTTACAGCCTCACTAGAATGTCAGCTCCAGGACGGGCGTCTGGACCACGCCCTTGGTTCCCGGCACATCTGGGCCACTGCTGGGGCTCAGTAAGGCTGCTGAGCAAAGCCCCTCCTACAGGCAGGGGAATGGAGGTGGCACAGGCAGCGGGGGGTGGCGCAGGAATGTGAACCCAGGCAGCTGCCTTCGGAGCCTGAGCTCCCACCCCCTTAACCGTATACACTGCCCCAGACCGTGAACACCACCATGGCCATGAAGCCACTGCCATATCCCTTGGGACAGCCCTGGCCTGGGCAAGGGTGGGTGCAACCCCTGGGTCCAAGGGGACAGATATTTGTCCCTTGATCTGCATGTCTGCCCGACCCTCTGAAAGGTCCACCAACACCCCATGCCCTTGGCCCTGTGGCACCCTTGGCAACACTGGGTGTTGTGTAAAATCTCATTCGATAGTTTCAGAGCCAAGAATGGCTACTTTTTTTGTTTGTTTGTTTAAACCAGAGGTGAGGTTGAACATTTCCCACATGTTTGTTTAACAGATCTGTTTCCTCCTTGTGAACACTCTGTTCGTGTGTCTGGTCTCTCTACCTCCTGGGGTCCAGTTTTTTCTTTTCCCCTGTTGATGTGTATAATTCTTATACAATAAAGATATCTCCTCTCTGACAGCTTTGCTGCAAATTTCTCTCCCCTGTTTATAGGCTCACTTTTTATTTCAGTTACATGTATGGTGTATGACATCCATTTGCATTATTCTTATAGAAAAATAATACTCACTGTAGGGAATTCTGAAAACAAGAAGATATTTAGAAAAATGTCAAAAACACCCCGTAACTCCCTTACCCAGTGCCCAGTACAGTTTAGGCCCTTTTTTTCTGGGGGTCAGCACTCTGCTATTTTACAGATAAGGAAACTGAGGCTCAGAGGAGGTGACTGACTTGCCCAGAGGTGCTGTGAGAGTCCGCGTGTCAGTGCTGGGATGTGAAGCCTGCGGAAACCAACCTCAGTGTCTGTGGGGTATTCTCTGGCACATGCACTTAAATACCAGTGAGGACACGGTCAAGTATCTAAAGGGCAGGACCGATCAGTCACGTGAGTTGTAGTATCTCATCCAAACTCAGCAGCACAAAGACAGAGGCAGCCAGGAAAGTGGGTGACAGCTCAACCAAGGGGCCAGGAAGAAGCTGAAACAGAAGGGCTCCCGCTGGCTGCAGGGCTCGGCCACACAATCCCTCTGAGCCATTTCTCTCAGGAACCACAAAGCTTTTACCCTCCTGCTCTCCCCAAGGGGCACTGCTTTTGCACAAACTGGGAAAAAAAAAAATTGAGACAAGAGGCTGCTCCATTTCCAAATCAATGGAGATGCCATTTTTCAAGCAGAGGGGTCAGCATGCCAGGGGCTTCAGCCCAGGGGAGAGCTGACCTGTGACTTCTAGGAAAACAGGGCTGATGGATTTTGTTGGGTGTGGTCAGTGGCAGTTGCCCACCCCCCAACCCCCGGATACCTTTATGCCAAGCGGCTCCTGGCTCGGGCCGGGGGCGGGCCTTTTTCCAGAGAGCAGGTGCTTCTGGAGGACGGCAGTGACTTTAAGGAGGATGTCCCCAAGGATGGCCGCCCCCATCAGCAGGCCCATGTCACAGGCTTTCAGGGCGGCGGCCACAGAGGCAGCGTCCCCTGGCGGCGCACACAGACACACGGCTTTCAGGAGGCAGCTGAAGGAGTACACCCGCCGCCAGCCCTTGTCCACGTGCTGCCAGGGCCCTGTGTTGAGCTTCTCCCAGGAGTAGTCGAGCAGCACCTCGCAGGTCTGCAGACACTCTTGCCTCCTGTCCCCGTAGAAGAGCTCGGCGGCCTCCTGCAGCAGCATCACCACGCTGCCCTCCACCTTCTCTCCCAGCTCCAGCTTCAGCTCCTCTTTCGTGCGGGGCAGGAGTGCCCAGAGGGCCTCCCAGAGCGCGCCCGGCCCTGCCATCGGCCCAGCTGGCTCAGTCCGACGAGTGCTGGGGGGAAAGATAAGTTACAGCAAAACACTACGTTGTATGCCTACATATTTACTGTTCTACATTTTCATAAAATAAGACTGGGGGAAAACAAGCTAGATCTGTGATGACATCCAGTGGCCAAAATGTCGACCACTGAAATTTTAAATATATATAAACTATTTTCCTAAAAAAAGAGAGAGACCGAGAGAGAGAGACCATGCACAGACCTGGTCCCCTACAGGTTACCAAGGCTTCCGGACTCGTCCCATGTAACACACATCTCACCTGCACTGATTCTTCAACAGTGGTCTTCTCTGCCCTGTGAGGGCACCTGTGAGGGCACCTGTGAGGGCAGGGGCCCTATCTGTCTGGTGTCACCGCTGCATCTGCAGGGCCTGGCGTAACACTAGGCACACAGTGGGCACCGGACCCACATTTGTTCAGAGAGTAACATGTATTATTTTTGTCTGGAATGCCTCCAACACCCCTCTTCTCTGGCAAACTCCTATCTAACCTTTAAGGCCCATCTTAAATGATCCCCTACGTGAAGCCTGCCAAGATTCTGAGAGTGTTTTGGATTTGAATAGCCCTTGAGCTTCTTGCAGAGTCAAGCTCATAGTAGGCACTCAATTAAGACTACTGGAGGAATGAATCTTAACGTCTCTGGAGGAAACCTGGAAATACGTAAATCCTATACAAAAAGGTTTATCACAGTTGGTGCCTTTAGTGACTTTAGCCTGGACGTTATATATAGATGGCAGGCCAATCTCTAGGAGTAAGTACTAATATGTGAATAGGTTCTACTGCTCACAACTTATGGTGATTTATTTGCACTAAAATGTTGTAGGTATTATACTAACAGCTGCTATATGCCCTATCTCATCTGATACTAAGAAATAGGGACCATCACCTTTTTGCAGAGACTGCTCTACACTGGGGGTCAAAAAACTTTATCTGTAAAGGGCCAGATGTCAAATTATTTGATTTATTTGCACTAAAATGTTGTAGGTATTATACTAACAGCTGCTATATGCCCTATCTCATCTGATACTAAGAAATAGGGACCATCACCCTTTTGCAGAGACTGCTCTACACTGGGGGTCAAAAAACTTTATCTGTAAAGGGCCAGATGTCAAATAGTTTAGGCTTTGCAGGCCATACAGTCACTGTTGGCACTACTCTGTCACTGTACTGTGAAAGCAGCTTTATACAGTATGTAAACAAATGGGCACGGTGTGTCCCAATAAAACTTTACCTACAAAAACAAACTCTTGCTTTAAGCTCACCAAAGCCCATTCCATCTTCTTCCTGGGCACACAGTTAGACTCCATTTCTCATTCGCAATTAGATGTGACCACGGCACCTTGTTCCAGCTAATGAATGGAAGCGATGTATGCCCCTTCCAGGCCTGGTCCATAAACACTTCCTGTATGATCCTCCACACTTTCCCTATCCACTGGCTGGAAGCTAATGACTCTGAGGCCTTAGGGGATGGCAGAGCCATAAGATAGCCCCCTAACTAGGAATATCCATGCTGGAATGCTTCCGGAGCAAAAAATAAACTTGTATTGTGTTTAGCCCCTACAGTGTTGATGATGCTTGTTGCAGCAGTTATCCTGCCCTGAATGAAGCAATAACTTCCTTCTATTATTGAGGAAACAGATGGCAGAGAACATAGTAGAGGGTTATTTGTTGAGTTCTGATGGCTCAGAATCCTTTTCTCTTTCTTGACAACATACTTCCATCTCCTTTTGAGAAATTCCATCATACCCACTGAGATCAGTCTGGTGGGATGTTGCCAAGGGGTGGGTATGTGACCCAAGCTAGACAAAGAGTTGCCTCCTTTGAATTTGAACTTCAAGTAGGTCAACTTGACCAGAGATAGCTGACATTTCATTTTGTCCTAGTGGCAGTTTCTGGACCAGACTATTCTTGCTAGGGTCTCACAATTATTGTCCGTAATTCCTAGGATGCACTTTAGTTCTTGTCTTTTCCAAGCCCAGTTCTCCAGCTTTCCATCGATTCTGTGGGCCCCACAGTCTCCCAAGAAATTTCCTCTTGCTTATGTCAACCAGGGTTTCTGTGGTTAATAATAAAAGAACCTTATTTGACCCTTAAAAGTAACTGACACTCAAGAGCCACTGGTGGATGGTGAAGGCAAGAATGAAGACTTGCCTGTGATAAAGCCCCATCACATGCTCCGCTTCTTGTGAGGGAAGAAAGTCACCCTAAGGTGCAAGAGAGCCCAATGATCCCTGCTTGCTGTTATGAACAGTCTTATCTAACCTCCTTAAGTACGGGCAGGATCTGTGATTTGAGTGGTCGGCAGAATAATGTCCCCCAAAGATGTCCACATCCTAATCCCCAGAACCTGTGAGTCTGTTACCTAACATGGCAAAAGGGACTTTGCAGATGTGATGAAGAATAAGGGCTGTGAGATAGGATTATACTGGATTATCTGGCTGGCCCCAACCTAACAGAGGAGTCCTTGAAAGGATCTTTCCTGGCTAAAGTCAGAGTCAGAGGGAGACGTGATTACAGAATTGTTAGACTATGCAATGTTGCCAGCTCTGAAGATGGAGGAAGCGCGTCCCAGACCAAGGAATGTGGGTGGTCTCTAGAAGCTGGAAAAGGCAAGTAAATGGATTCCCCCCTAGAGTTTCCAGAAGGGAATGCAGCCCTGCTGAGACCTTGATTTTAGTTCCATGTTTAACTTCTAACCTATAGAACTGTAAGCTAGTCAATTTTTATTGTTTTAAGCCATCACATTTGTGATAATTTGTTATATCAGCAATAGAAAACTATCACTACTTGCCTCTAACCAACAGGTGTGTAGGTTTGGTATGGGTAGCTATTTACTTTTTGGTCTAAGATGGCAAAAGTGACGAGATGCCACTTCTGGGATCAGGTCACATAAGACTGGAACTTCCATCTTGCTGGCAGACTCTCTCTACTGCCTTCTTGGTTTGCACGCATCGATGAAGCAAGTGGCCCTGTTGGAGGGGCCCATGTGGCAAAGAACTGAGGGTGGCTTAGAGCAAGCTAGGAACTGAGGGCCTCAGTCCAGCAGTCCTCCAGGAACTGAATTTTGCCACCACAGGCACTTAGATCCTTGTCCAGTTGAGCCTTCAGATGAGAGCTCAGCCCTGACACCATAACTGGAGCCTTGTGAGAGACCCTGATGTAGATGACCCAGCTAAACCCTGCCCGGACTCCCAACCCACAGAAACAGAGATAATACGTGTGTGTTGTTTTACAGTCACTAAATTTATGGTGATGTGTTAACGCAGCAATAGATAATAAACGCTCCTACCAGATTTCCTGGACATGCTGGGACTCCATCTATAACTCACACCAAAGAACAGGAGGAGAAAGCATGGTTCCCTTTAGCTCTAATGTGTGTGAAGACGTTAGCAGTAGAAAGAGAAACAAAGATGCGTGAAGGATGCTAGAGATATGGTCCCTGAGGGTGCGTCGGACAAGCCATTCCTATTGCTGGGCCCCATTTCAGCTCACTCCCCACCAGTTCAGGAATATTCAGTATTCAGCAGACAGAATACTTGCCTCATTTCACCCCCACAATGACCCTACAAAGCTGATAAAGTACTTACAAAGCGTTTGCTGCAAAGCCAGGAATGCTCCAAGCACTTTATATATACTCTTAATTCTTACAGAAACTCTAAGTATTATCATCTCCATCTTACAAATAAGGAAGCTAAAGCAGAGAAGTTAAATGATGTCCCAAAGCAATTCAGCTAATAAGAGGTGGAGCAGTCTAGCTCACAAATCCATGATCTTATAAATGAGGGACCAGAGCCACAAGATCACAAGCCAGCACACGATGAAGCTGCACATCTGGGTTAACTCTCAAGAAAACTCTGAGGAAGGAATTATTATTCTCCCCATTCTACAGATGAGAAAATCCTATCATTTCACATAAGAGAAGGGTGTACCTTTCTCGCTTGTTATTATTTTTGAGGTGCCTCTTCCTGGGCCTGTCCTAAAGTAAGTGCAGTAATTCAGAGTTTTTCTCAGTTCTGCAATCTATCCCCAGCACCGCTTTCGAATTGTATTTGTTCCTCACCATACTGTTAAGCGGACAGGGGTGTATGGGATCATTTCCCCTGCGGTTGCACCCTCCTATTTTGCTGATGAGAAAACTAAAGTCCAGAAAAAATGAAGTGACTTGACCAAAACACACCACCACAATCGATTGTGCAGAGACAGAACTGAGATTATGCTCAACCTCAGTGCCCTTTCGTTTGTGCCATGTCAACGTTCCATGTTTTTTTTTTTTTTTTTTTTTTCTGTGCCACACGGTTTGTGCGATCTTAGTTCTCAGAACAGGGATCAAAACTGGGGCCCTGCTGTGAAAGCACGGAGTTCTAACCACTGGACTTCCAGGGAAATTCCAATGCTCTATGTTTTACGTACATTATCTAACATATCCCTCACAATTCTACAGTGTGAGGTTTTACAGATGAATGAAGTGAGAGTTGGGAGATTAAGCAATTTGTCCAAAACTTTACAGTAAGTGGCAGTGCCCACTCAGACACTCTTCATGTTTGGGCATGAGGACTGCATCAGCTTTTGGAGCTTTAGATCCCAGCTCAGTCCCTGGTTCACAATGGATATCCTTCCCAGCTGGCTTACTGCATGACAGGACTCAGAGAGCCTGAGTGGCCTGGCCCAAGCCTGCCAGGATGATTTCTATCTCCAGCCTCCTAGAAGATTCATAAATGTCTTGTGTTGGTCTCGTTAAGAGCTTCACAGTGCAGGGCTTCCCTGGTGGCGCAGCAGTTAAGAATCTGCCTGCCGATGCAGGGGACATGGGTTCGAGCCCTGCTCCGGGAAGATCCCACATGCCGCAGAGCAACTAAGCCCGTGCACCACAACTACTGAGCCTGTGCTCTAGAGCCCACGAGCCACAACTACTGAGCCCACGTGTTGCATCTACTGAAGCCCGTGCACTCTAGAGCCTGTGCTCTGCAACGAG